CCCATCCCATCCCATGGATCCCATCCCATCCCATCCCATGGATCCCATCCCATGGATCCCATCCCATCCCAGCCCCTCCCATCCCACTGGGATGTGCTGGAACAGGGCCGATAACCCAGCCCTGGCTCCCAGCAGCACAGCCAGGATGACATCAGGGATTTTTACTCCAGCCCCAAATCTTCCTCTCCCATCTCCTGAGCCGGGCTCAGCTGAGCTTGGCTTTGTGGCTGCCGCTGATCCCGGCTGGATAAACCGGGCTCTTCCCAGAGCCACGCCCTGAGCTCTGGGGTCCCCAGCTCAGGGAAATGGGAGCTGTTTGAAGGCAGCTGGAAAAGCACAGCCCAGACCCTTCCCGGGAGAGCATCCTCTGCTCCGGGGCTCCAGCTGACAGGGCAGCTTTATTTTCGGCAAGCCCTGAGTCACGCCAGGGTTTGCTGAAGGTTTGTCCGGGTTCTTCCCTGAAATAACAGTGAGTAAGAACCCGGCCTGGCCAGCCCTGCAGGAACAGGAGGTCCCAAAGCACAGCAGGGACACGCAGGGCTCTGGCTTTTCCTGCTGGGAACACGCAGTTCCACGCTGAATGCCCAAAAACTGGGCAAAAAAAACCCCCAAACAAATAAAAAATGGTGTTTGTTGTGAACAGCTCGATATCAGACTGAGAGGGATGGATGAGGAGCTCCCAAAGCAGCACCCCAGGAGGACACTGTTGAGGAGATGCATTCCCACAGTGAGGACAGCAGGAAAGGGATTGGGATTCTGCCCCAGCACGGGAAGGACCTGGAGCTGCTGGAGAGAGCCCAGAGGGTGAGCAGAGGGATGGAGCAGCTCTGCTGGGAGAGCTGGGAGTGCTCAGCTGGAGAGGAGAAGCTTTGGGGTGACCTCAGGGTGGCCTTGGGGGGCCTGAAGGAGCTGAGAGCTTCACCAGAGGCTCGGGATAGACTCTGGTCTCTGGCAGGGAGCTTTCACAGGTGCAGCGTGCTCTGGGACACCAATCCTGGTCCCACCTGGAGCCCTGCCCACCTCTGGAGGAAACCTGAGTGTGCTGAAGTCAACAACACCAAAAACTCTTCATACTCATCTGACCTGAGCAGAACCCTAGAGGGGAATTTTTCCATTTTCCCACTGAATCTGGTTAAAACCGAGTGGGTCTGGCTGGAAGCCCCACCCTGCAGGCCTGGCCCGCTCCTCAGCCACGAGCCAAGGCTCAGGTGAAGCTGTGCCTGAGCCCAGCCCAGAGCAGGAGCAGGGTCCTGTCCTCCATCCCAGCTCACAGCTTCTCCAGGGACACACACAGCACATGGGAGAGCAGGAATAAGAGCCTTTCCCACCAGCTCCAGTTAAATTATTATTGTTATAAAGTAAACTTCAGCCTGGAATAGCTGACTTTAGCAGGAAATGGGTTTTCATGGGATCTCCTCTCCAAGGAGAGCACAAAGTCACCTTTCTCCTGAAGATGTCCCACGGCTGGCAGGGGTTAATCCTCGCTCTGCCACCTCTAGAGCAGCTGGGTGCTGACAGCTGTAAACCCCAGAGCTCAGGAACAGGAACCTGCTGCTCCCTGGAAATCCAGGCAGCCGATATTTTGGGAAGGGGGTTCTACCAAACCATTCCCGTGGCAACGGTGCCTCCTGCCCAGGGACAGCCTCACAGCCCAGCCTGTGTCCGAGCAGCCACTGCACCATTTTTGGGATTTCCTGGTTGTGAGGAAGCCATGGAGCCCCCTGAAGAGCCCAGAGCTGGAACCTTTGCTGCTTCCCCGATACCACTTTCCGCAGCCCCTCCCTGCTGCTGGAGGGGGAGGGCAGGTGAGTAACCCTGCAGTCCTGTGGGCTTGGCACAGGTGCCACCGAGCCCAGCGGAGCCCCAGCGCAGCCAGGATGAGTCGCAGGCTGTAAAACCACTACACCCTTTTGTTGCAGGGGAATCAAACTGGTTTTTCACGAGGCGTCGTTCCAGCGCCCTGCCAGAACGCCAGGCCTCACCTTCCTCATGGCGTTGTGTATCCCAAAGTATTCCCTGCTGGAATGCAGCAATCTCCCCGCGCTCAGGGACACGCCTGCACGCTGCTGGGGCTCAGCACTGACACAAAGTGGTGCTGTCAGCAGAGCCAGGTGTGAAAAATGAGGTTCACATAATTTTTACAGAATTTAAAAGTTTAATAAAAAAAAACAATTAGGAGAAAAAATAAAGTAAAGTATACAGATAGGGCCAGGTGTCTCTGCATTCAGCCAAGAGAGCACACCTTACTAACAAAGGATTGTCCCTTAGAAACAGAACCCTACTACATATTCATAAATTCTCATCCATATTCATACATTCTTCTGAGGATCTTTGGTGTTCTTCTGTTTAGTTTTCTCTTGCCCCCTTCCCAATAGATCAATCTTCTT